TAAAACAGCTCTGACCCGGTGTGATTTGACCGATGCTCAATCAGATAGAGATGTGGAGAGTTTGAAGGTCGGGTCAGTGCCTTAGACTCTTGGTCGTGTTCCTCGAGCTGCACTGATTGATGTTGCAGTGGAGGGTGAGCTTGGTCTAAGACGTGTGCGAGATGTCACCCTAGTGAGAATTAGGGTGTATAGAGGATGGATGGATGGATGGATGGATGGATGGATAGTTCGACATAATATCTTTTACTTTAGTTGGACATTGTATTAGTTTATATAATATCTGTAAAATTCCAGTACTTTTACTGCAGCGTGACGTCGTATTAATTCTACACAATATCTATAAATGACAGTACTTTTGCTATACCTGGATATTGTATTAGTGCTGCATAATATCTATTTAATTACAGTGCTCCAGATTTAGTGGGACATTGTATGAGTTTGACATAATATCTGTAAAATGACAGTACTTTTGCTATATCTGGATATTGTATTAGTTCCATATAATATCTATAAGTTACAGTACTTCTACCTTAGTTGGACATTGTTTTAGTTCTAGATAATATTCGCAAAATTACAAATGTAATGGTAGTTGGACATTTTATTAGTTCCGTATATATCTGTAAATTACAGTATTTTTACTGTGTGTCATTTGTTTTGTAGGTATTTAAACATAAAACAAAGTGCCAGACAGATCAAAAGTAAAGGAGCAAGAAGAACATCAATGCTCACAAATGTCATGACAATCCACCCAACAGTTTTGGTGTTAGCTTCACGGCAGCTCCAGAGCAGGTCAGACGTTAGGATTCAACCTCTGGGCACCATGAACGTCTCTAGAAAACAACCTGCTCAGTACTTGTAGAGATATTTCCGTCTGGACCAAAGTGATGAACGGACTGATTAACACGAGCAGCAAAATATTTACTCGTCTCGTGATAATGTGTCCAGAGATAGAAAACAAACTGGTTTCTACTTTACTGAGAGTCAATCAGCTCTACTGTAGATTTACCCGCGACTGACTCTTTCCCCTCCGTTGAACTCGAAGCACTCTGCTAATCAAAAGAAACTGTGCTGTAATTACTTACCACGCCGGTTGATTGGAGCCGTATTATCATGCAGCTGAGTAAAATAGGTTATTCTTTATTTTGTTTCCCGCTCTCTATCTCCCTGCCAGATTTTAGCAAGTCGGCTACCTTCCAAAAATTCGCGAGCAGTTCCAACGCGCTTCCTGAGTTGTGGCCAAGAGTTCCTCACTTTTGGCTAGTGGCGTGTGCTTACTTTTACTTTGCCTCTTTACTTTGTTGGTTTTACTCAGCAGCAGTAGCGGCAGCAAAGGTCACATGACTGGTTGGAGAGTATATCTCACACTGAGGGCGTTAATGAAATGCACTTACCTGCAAAGACAAAACACTGGGATGTCTTGGCTCATGTTGCACACATGGCCCCGGGGCTACAAGGCTTTGAATGATAAATGTACACGTCAGGAATGCATAATATCATCGTGATTTCAATAAAACTGCCCCGCTTTGGGATGAAACGAGCATTAATAATTAAGCTGGCTGTTCTTCAAGACAAATGCAAACAAAAAAAAAATTGCGCAAACTACAAAACTTCACTTTAACAAGCAGAAGAAAAAAAATTTAATTATCAGAATCTGGTTTTCTAGCTTTAACCTTTCTCTTCTGCAGGCAGGAAAACTGACAGTACAGCTGTGCATAAAGCAGCCAGCGTGGACGTGAATTAGATTTTGACATGAATAGAAAAGAATAGACCATTGAGAAGCATTGTGGGTGCAGGTGCAGGTTACGGACATAATCTGGAGGCGGGCCAGTCGGGGAGGAGGCGCAGGCAGCTGTCCTTACCTGCCTGCTCGACCCTCCAAGAAGCAGCTATAAATAGAAAAAGAGAAAAACCACGACACAACACAAGCGTGGCGGAGAGAAATGACCAAAACCATTACTCCTAAAAAAAAGGATTTACTTAGCAGTCACTTTTTTTAGCTGGGTTTCAGTGGAATTCATTATTTATAGAGAAAAATGTGCCCCGTTTGAAAAGGACCGAACTGAATAATCCACATGAATATATTTGTTTTTGTTTATTTCAGGCTGGTCTACGATCGCCCCGCCGATGCTGGCTTTCCTCTACTGCTTCGCTCAGGTTGGACTCGATCGGACGTCTCTCCCGCCGTGAGTCACCTTGACTTATCGGAGTGAGGATCCCGCCACCGGACAACCACCAACAACCTGCTGACTCCGGCGCCTCGGCCTCACCAGCCACAGTGTCTGTGGCGAAGCTGGCTCGCCGCCACAGAACCTGTCCAAACCCGGCTGAAGTGCAGCTGAGCAGCCACTTTGCACAAACTGCAGGACTGGACAAACTCTGAGCTACGACTTAGGAAGAAAGTTTCCTGTACTTTGTGCAACGTGCACACCAGCTGTAATGAAACGCTGTAAATTCAGGACGGGCACGTTTTCTACCCGGCAAGCTACTGTTGTTCTAAGAAACTGTAAAATAAATTGCGAACCCTGAATCTGTCTGGGTTATACGACTGCGATAAGGCATTGCTCAGTGGCGCGGTAAGCTGCAGAAATGTCATATTTACCGTCCTACTTTAGCTGCTGTGCATTCAGAGGGCTGAATGCAGCAGCAGGAACCTGATCAATGACAGTGATTCCCTGCAGATGTAAAGCAGAATGACTGGAAATAGAGATAAGAAGCTTTGGAGCAACAGCACACCAGCTTTTAATTCAAGACAGTTTCATGTTTATTCACTTTAATTCACTAAAAAAGTTAATTTTTGAGCAAATATGTAAAAAAAACTGTTTTTCGTGTGATGTGTTGTTGCGTTGTTAATCACAGTTTATCTTAAAAAACTTTTCAGTGCCACAACCAACTTTACTCACTTTCATTTCACACCTGTTCATGTGTAGAGTAGCTGCTTATTAAAGACTGTAAGTAGGTGTTTGCGGATTCCAGCCAATGCGAGGAGCACTGTGGGTGTACAGTCAGGTACAATAGAACGGCACAAATAAAGTAAAGTGTTTGTTGCGGGGTTTGGCAGGTGATAGCTGTGGTCGCTGCCAAGAACCGGGGCTGGTTTTTATGAAAACATAAAATATAAACCATGTGTTAATCACCACGTATTCAGCCGAATACACAGGGAGAGAATATCTGGCGCTACCAGGTAAAATATAAGAATTAACAGAATGCTCAAGAAGCCATAATCCTCACTGAAACACTCACGCATGAACCCAATTCTCCACATAGGTTAGAATCATATAATATAATGCTCCTGTCTAATGGCGTCCTGTGTGTTTCCTAAAACACTTCTCCATGATAACGATGGAAAGCTGTCATGAAGTGAAGGAAAGACGTGAAGGAGAATTTGGAAGGAAGCATTCCAGCACCTTTCCTCAGCCTGCTTTCATCATGGCTGCCACTTAGATCCTTTAATTAGAAACTTGAAGCAAAATGCAACCGGCACACTGGAGCCAAACTGAGGTCTAGAGAATAGTCGTTTCTGGTTGGAGGCAGGATCTTCCAAATACAGTTAGCAGCTCATCGCCAACATGTACAGCATCAGTTAGCTAACGAGTACTGTAAACATTCTACATCCTGCTGATATTGTGTATAAAATGCTTGAAAATAAAACAATTACCTCCTGAAATGAACTGGACATCGGAATTCTTTGAGCGTCTGGATACGAGAACACGAAGAACAAGCAAAAGTCACACTGAATTGAAAACTGATCAAAACAAGCTAACAAACAGCCGAAAAAGCTGCATCGTCGACTAAATTCTTCAGCGAGGAATGACCCTCCTGGCCTGATGTTCAATCAAACCAAATGCACCTCGTTTTGAAGCCTAATATCTACTTAATGATGGACTTATTTTCAAAATGTCCACCTGCTCACTCATCACAAGGAGCAAATTCAGCTAATGACACCATCAGAGCTCATAGAAGAAATGTACTGACTCAGTAATTCAAGACAGAAGTTTGTGAATAGAAGTCTATTAAAGTCAGCCATTTATACATTGACTTCAGTTTCAAGATCTGGTTGTTGCCACTTCATATAAACACAACGATCAGAAACAACCTTTGTCCTCATGTGGATGTTTCTTTGACANTTTTTTAGCATTTATCCATCAGTGTTAATCGTCTATTACTCTTTTATGATACCAATAACTGGTAAAAAAAATGGTGCATATCGGGTCAGATAATCGGCCAGGTTGGTTAATGGCCCACCCATACTGTGGAAATGATTAAATCCTTTACTGTGGCCAGAGCTGAATTAATAAGAGATAACGCCTGGAGCGGCTGCACTAAGTACAGACAGGGGACAAACCGGTTGGATCCTGTCACATCTAATTGATATGTACAGTTTAACGCGTACAACTTTAATGCGTATAGGAGTCTGTTCCTGATAACAATAGGGAAGTTCAGGCTGCTTCTTGGGCCTTTAGCCTTAAGAGACGGTCCGTGTTCTCAGAATAGCAACACAAGTCTGACGGCACACTGTGTAATCCTCCTGGTTTATGGTCACGCTGTTCATTAGTGCCAGGTGCTGCTGTGTTCTGTACAATGGAAATGTTCTTGTTGGTTCTCCTGCAATTTATCTATTTATTTGCTGATTTCCCAGGAGCAGAATTTCTCGGCGGTGATGAAAAGGCGCTGCATTGCCCTTCTCTCTGCCTTCTCCACCGCCATGCTCATCCTCTCTAATCTCGTGTTCCTCGGGGGCATACATGTTGGCAGAATCTTCTGGAAGCGCGTCTTCATTCAAGGTAAATTGCCTTCCACAGCACTCAACGGGAATTATGCGCGCCTTTATTTTTTGCAGGATTGTTTCCGCCGGTATTTGTACGTTTTCCAGCGCGGATCGTCAGTCATGCGGTCGTTTAATTTGACAGTTTAGTTGCGTTGTAGGACTTCACACATTCTCTCCTCCTGCAGCTCCTGAAGCAGCAGCTAAAGGGAGAAAAGCTCACATCTACGAGAACATATTATCATAAATGGAGGATAATTAATGAGTGGAAATGCTGCAGTATAGTAGGTGTGTATATTTAGCAGCGTTTTCAATTGATGGTGAGGCGATTTTATGCATCTGCACTGGCAAACGCTCCCGAATTGAGAGACATCTGCCTCATGCTTGTGCCAGTCCCTGTTTTCTCCCTGTGCCTTTATTTGGCTCATTTGGTACCTAAAGCAAGATGGCAGGACCTCCTGAAGCCTGTCTACTTATGATAAGCAGTCTGAGCTGCACTCGCCGCTGGGCTGGAAGCCCGATCAGTGCTGAGAGTTCACCAGTGATACATCATTACATCTACACGGTCTATTATTATAATCTATTTAGCTTATTAATTTGGAATTGAAGTATATTGGTTGCACATTTTTAAAGCAGCTTCAACCTTGTGAACCCCAAAACCAGCTGACAGGGTTGAGAAGCTTGTTGTCTTTTTAAAAGATCACCAAATTACAACATCAATTAGAAACTGTAAAAACAGAAAGAATTGTCAGATTT